TCACTCACCCACGAACGGGTCGATTCGTCGCAATCATCATCCTCGCCATCATTATTCTTTATTGAAGAAAATAAAAATTTGACACAAGCTGGCTGGCGGTAACACTTGCACAAGAGTAAACGCAAAATACTGTGGCGGGAGGGGGAGGGTGGTGGTGGTGGTGGTGCAATTGACCTTTTTTCTCTCTCCGTTTTTAACAACAAAAAACACCCCAAGGAGCGACATCCAACAATGAATAACCGCTCATTAATTCATTAATTCTCCTTCACTGACAGGAATCTCAAATCGCGTGGACGTCTGTCGCGAATCCGTGGAGCGCGTTCCGTACGACCGTGGAAGGGAGCAAGGTGGGGGGGGGCTGGGGGTGGAGGAATAAACAAAACTGCGGCTACGCAAACCTCAATCCTCCCCCCACCACCACCACCACCACCTCAACATCTCCCGATGACAAATACAAATAAACAGTAGAAATATCAACTCACGGAAGTTTGGAAAGCGGTGGAAAGAAACCGAGCGCGAGGTGGCAACGACGCGCGGGCTCGTGAAGGCACGAGGCAGCGCTAAAAACCACAACACAAAATACAAATGCCGTCAAAATCTTCTCAGACATCACAGTGGCCAAATAAATAAATAACTACGACTCGACCCACGGGGTGCCCACTATCAATCACTCCACCGATGGGCTATGACGATGGGCTATGACGATGGGTTATGATGATGGGCTATGGTGATGGGCTATGGTGATGGGCTATGGTGATGGGCTATGGTGATGGGCTATGATGATGGGCTATGGCGATGGGCTATGGCGATGGGCTATGGTGATGGGCTATGGTGATGGGCTATAATGATGGGCTATGGTGATGGGCTATGGTGATGGGCTATGGTGATGGGCTATGGTGATGGGCTATGGCGATGGGCTATGATGATGGGCTATGGCGATGGGCTATGGTGATGGGCTATGATGATGGGCTATGGTGATGGGCTATGGTGATGGGCTATAATGATGGGCTATGGTGATGGGCTATGGTGATGGGCTATGGTGATGGGCTATGGTGATGGGCTATGATGATGGGCTATGGCGATGGGCTATGGTGATGGGCTATGGTGATGGGCTATGGTGATGGGCTATAATGATGGGCTATGGTGATGGGCTATGGTGATGGGCTATGGTGATGGGCTATGGTGATGGGCTATGGCGATGGGCTATGGCGATGGGCTATGACGATGGGCTATGACGATGGGCTATGGTGATGGGCTATGGTGATGGGCTATGGTGATGGGCTATGGTGATGGGCTATGGTGATGGGCTATGGTGATGGGCTATGGTGATGGGCTATGATGATGGGCTATGGCGATGGGCTATGGTGATGGGCTATGATGATGGGCTATGGTGATGGGCTATGGTGATGGGCTATGGTGATGGGCTATAATGATGGACTATGATGATGGGCTATGGTGATGGGCTATGGTGATGGGCTATGATGATGGGCTATGGCGATGGGCTATGATGATGGGCTATGGTGATGGGCTATGATGATGGGCTATGATGATGGGCTATGGTGATGGGCTATGGTGATGGGCTATGGCGATGGGCTATGGCGATGGGCTATGGTGATGGGCTATGGCGATGGGCTATGGTGATGGGCTATGGCGATGGGCTATGGTGATGGGCTATGGTGATGGGCTATGGTGATGGGCTATGGTGATGGGCTATGGCGATGGGCTATGGTGATGCGCTATGATGATGGGCTATGGCGATGGGCTATGGGCTATGATGATGGGCTATGATGATGGGCTATGATGATGGGCTATGATGATGGGCCGGCATCTCTCCCAACGACGGTACGGGGGGGGGGGGGACACACTGCCGAGTCCCCAAGCGGCTCTCCTGTCCAGAGGGCGCCCGCTGCTGCTTCTATGGATGTTTGGCCAATGTCGAAATCGGTGTGGGGGGGGGGGGGGCGGTGAACGCCGGAGAAAACCCCCAGCGTGTGGGTCGCGCCGGTTTTATTTTCTTCTGCCGAGTGAGGCTCGCTCGAGTCTCGAGTTGAGACTCGAGTAAGTCTAGAGTCTTGAGCGAGTCTCAAACGAGTCTCGAGCGAGTCTCGAGTCTCGAGTGAGTCTCGAGCGAACCTCGATCGAGCCTCGGGGGAGCCTCGGGTGAGTCTCGAGACCGTCCCTGAGTTGGGGAGGGTGGGGGGGGTCCATGACAAACTAAACACAAAAATAACCGACGCGCAAATTGGCGAGGGTGCAGAAAGGTCGTGGGCTGGGGGTGGTAGCGGCGCAAGTCCACGTGGAGTCTCTCTCTCTCTGTCTCTCATGTGCGTCCATCGACATCGTCACCACCGCCGCAGTCACCACCGCCGTCGCCACCCACACGACGCAGACGCTTTCGGCGGCGTGAAGTCAGCGGCGAACGCTTTGGATCCGTACGCGTTTCGAATAAATTAATTCATTATTAAGGCAAGAATAAAAAATAAAATAAAGAGAGGCAGCAAAGACGAGGCGACTTCGTTGCGTGCCGGGACTCGAACCAACCCGGACCCCGGGTCAGGCTTTGAACTCGCGAAGCTGGCACGATTGCGAGCCGCGAGATCCACCCCAGCCAGGACGCCAGTCGTGGTGGTGGTGGTGATGATGGTGGTGGTGATGGTGGTGATGATGATGGTGGTGATGATGGTGGTGGTGATGATGGTGGTGGTGACGGTGGTGATGGTGGTGACGGTGGTGATGGTGATAGTGGTGATAGTGGTGATGGTGGTGATGGTGGTGGTGGTGGTGATGGTGGGGGGGGGGGGGGTGATGATGGTGGTGATGGTGGTGATGGTGGTGATGGTGGTGGTGGTGATGGTGGTGATGGTGGTGATGGTGGTGGTGGTGATGGTGATGATGGTGGTGATGGTGGTGATGATGGTGGTGATGATGGTGGTGATGATGGTGATGGTGATGATGGTGATGATGGTGGTGATGATGGTGATGATGGTGGTGGGGGGGTGGCTGGGGGGTTAGCGAGCGCAATGCCCGCTGGGGCCCCCCGCACAATTCGAGTGTCGACTGCAGTCCGGTGCGGCGGGAGCCCTTGCGGTGTTTGGTGTGGATCGGGGGGGGGCGGGGGGGGGGGCGGTGGGAGCGCCTCTGCCGTGACCGCTCGTGGGGTCTCCTCTCGCTCCGCAAAAAACCATTTGTTTTTTTTTCTCTATTTTTTTTCGCACGCGGATTTCGTTTCGCGGCATTTTTATTTGGCCGGCAAAAATTCCTGCGACCCCCGCGGCGGAAAGGCACACCGCTCGCAAGGCACGCGCCGGGGTCGCTTTGGGCTTTGCTTTGGTGGGGGGGGGGTTTTACGCTATCACGCGCACCGCCACCACCGCCACCACCGCCACCACCGCGCCACCACCACTACTACCACCACCTCCGCAACGTCCAAGCACCGTCCAGCATAGGGAACTGCTCTAAGCCACTTCGTTGAGCTACCACGTGTGATGGCGAGATCGCCAACACGCCGCGCAGCTCGGTAGGGGCGTTACCTGGGCAAATAAAAACGAACACTTTTAAATACGATAGGTATTGCTCTGGAATACCAACACGGCCCGGACAATAACCTCACGGTCCGTCGCCTACACCCCCAGCTCGCTTGGACGGTGGACCTCGGCGGCTCCAAACGAAGCCGAAAAGCTGCATCCGCTTCCCACGCCGATTGGCAAAGTGGCGGAGGAGCCACCGCCGCGCGCTCGCCCCGCGCGGCCGCTTGGCGTTCAAACGTGGCCGCGTTTTCGCGACACGCCGCTCGCAAAACGCTGCCGCTCTGCGCCGGGTTCGCGTGCGGCGTGGGGGGACGGGGCCGTGGTGGGGGGCGGGGGGGTGGAGGCGGTTAATTGGTCGGTGCGGATACGCGATGGGCTGGGGCGCGCCACCGCCGCCACCGCCGCCGCCGCCTGTCTGCTGCTGGTTTGTTAGTGGAGAGAAGAATGGGAGCTGATTAAACTACCGATTGCACCACGCCACCACGGGCCTCGCTAAAGCAACAGCATCGGCACGTTTCGCTGGGGTTTTTTTTTGGGGAGGTGGGGGAGGGAGGTGGGCGATGGAGGGAGGGAGGGAGGGGGGTTTGTTTCTTGAACCCCGCGGTCGCTCCCGACGCGGCACGGCCGTTCGTCGTTCTCGGAGCGACGCTGAGGAACGCACGGAGGTGAGCGGGAGGTGAGCGGGAGGGGGGGGGGGTGAGGTGAGCGGGAGGTGAGCGGGAGGTGAGCGGGAGGTGAGCGCGAGGTGAGCGGGAGGGGGGGGCGAGGTGAGCGCGAGGTGAGCGGGAGGGGGGGGGGGGTGAGGCTGCTCAAGGAAGACCTCTCGGTCGCGTTCAGTCCGAGTCGCTCGCTCGCTCGCTCGCCCAGTCGAGCGCCCCCCCGAGCCTCTCGCGCCGGGCGCAGTATTGTTTGCCGAGCGCTCGTGTTTATTCACCGGTCATACGTGAGCGGAATGACTTCCTGCGCCGTCGCGTCTCGCGACGCGTTTGGCCTCCGCTCAACCCATCCCCACGCTCCCCTCCCTCCCTCCCTCCCCCGCCACCAACAACCACCCCCCCTAGCCTCCCGCCCTCGTTCGACCGAGGCTACCCCAGATACGAACCCCGGTTTGGGGGGGATGGCCCCGGTGCTTTCACGGGCCTTCCCGTCCAACCGGCACGCCCGGACGTGCCATCCGCACAAAGTGCCCGGTCCACTGGAAAATCGTGCACACTGCCATCGCGTGGCACGGACGCTGTTGCAGTGGTTAGTGTAGCGGTTAGCGCAGCGCTGCGTTACGAACCCGGCGAGCCGAGTTCGAATCCCGCTCACGGCCAACCTCGGTGACGAATGTCTGAACCGATCCTGGGCCTCCTCTAGATCGACTCGGCCTCAAATGAGTACCTGGTGCGGCGCGTAAACATCGCCACTGGGGAGACAAAGGCGGCCGGGGCGTGGTGCTGGCCACCCACCCCCTCGTGTGCCGTTCCGGCCTTCGTTGGTTGCTACTAGCGAACAGCACTTGCCCCATAAAGTCTGCTCAGGCTACACGCGGGTATATCTTTGTCTTTGTGTGTGCGTGGATGCAGCGGATGAAGCAGGTCAGTCTGCGAATCCGTGCCTCGGAGCCCGCGTGTGCGAAGCGTTAAGATCCATGGCGGCTGGGAATCGTTTAACGAGAATAGCGATCGCAAGTTAACCGGAGTCACTCCGCTGAAACAAGCAAAGAATATATTCTCATGAATCCAAAGCGGTCGCTTCGTCCCGTGATGCACGGCACGGACCCCTGGCTCCGAGTCCCGTCGAGTTGTGCGATTCTGTTTGCTCGTTCGTTCACGTGTTCATGTTCATTGTCCTTCCACCCCCCCTCCCCCCCCCCCCCCCGAGGAGCACGGTTGGCCACGTGCGGCGCGAAAGAAGTTCAACCGTACGTACGCTTGGGCAAACGTTAAAAAATGGTTCATCGTCCGACGCGCCCAACGACCGTTCGAGAGACGGCGCGGGCCGTAAGATCTCCAGGGGAAGGCCCGCGGCGAGATGACGGCACTGCCGGGAAAAATAAAAAAAAACCTAAAATAAAAATCGGCGCTTTCTCAAAGCTGCACAAAAAAAACGAACGTCGGAAATGGACGACGAGTAAAAGCCGGTACCCCACGTAACTATGGTTTCAAATATAATCTTTGCGAAGTGAATTACACGTATATATTCATATATAAAATCTAAATCTGCTCTCGCCTTGGCCGAATAAAGGACGCCGACGCCGAACTGAGAATTCCGGTAAATATTGGAACTTGTACCCCAGGAAGCCGGTGACGCAGACTCGCGGCCTGCGTTCAAAGCGTCCGGCGCAGGCGCCGACACGGTCACTCTTCAGTTGTCCAAATGCGCTGCGCAGAACCTTCACAGAGTCTCATCGGATAAAATAAAATAAAAAAAATAAAAAATTTGATTTGCACGCCAATATTGTGCCCACCAAAACTGTGCCACGTCTCCCCGACGTGAGAGGACTACCAGCCGACAGCGTCCCTCTCCAGGCAACACAACGGCGCACTTTGATGACAAATTCTATCGAATGTAACCGCACGCACGCACGCACACACACACACACGCGGTGGCCTTTTGTTTGGCAGTTGTTTCAACCGAACCTCGTCATCATCACCACCATCACCACCGACGTCACTCAGCGCCGGCATTTATCCCATGGCGGTCAGCATGTTGCCGGAGGGGTGCGGGCGAAGGGGCTGCTGCTGATGATGATGCTGGTAGTGTTGAAACTGCTGCTGCTGCTGCTGGTGCTGAACGGACAGCGCCACGCCGTCCGGAGGGAGGTACGCCAGCGTCGCTCCGCCGGCTACGCCGTGCGGCACCGTCAGCGCCAACGACGCCGGGGAGAGCAGCCGGTGCTGCTGCTGCTGCTGGTGGTGGTGCTGGTGGTGCTGGTGGTGGCTACCCAGGAGGTGCGGGGGCAGCGCGGAGGCCGTGAGGGCGGCGTGGAAGAAGGGAGGCCGCCGAACCGCCGCGTCCGAGGTTTCGTCGGCCGCCGCCCGGCCCTTCCGAGGCCGCCGGCGGGCCTTGCCGCCCGTCGAGTTCTTGCGGTTGCGCGTTTGGATGGCCTCCTTCTTCATGGCGATTGGCCGGTTCACCTGCCGGAGGTGCGCGCCAGAGGACGAGACGATTGTATCAGGTCAGTCGGTAGGTCGGTCGGTTAGTCTGTCAGTCGATCGGTAGATCGGTCAGTCGGTAGATCGGTAGATCGGTCAGTCGGTCAGTCGGTAGATCGGTCAGTACATAGGTTGATTGATCGGTCAGTCGGTAGGTCGGTCGATAGGTCGTATGGTCGATCAGTAGATCGGTCGGTCGGTCGGTAGGGTAAGATGAAGCTGGTGGTTGTGATTGCTAGCGATAAATCACGGTACTCGAGTTGTAAAATGTTGTTGTGGGTTTACTCTCCGACACACAACCGGTCGGTGCTGAATTCGTAACGAATTGACACGTTTTGTTTAGATAACGTAACCTTACTAATTGGCTGTGTCCGGTGGTGGCGAGTTTAACGACACATTTGTATATGCACGCGATCAAACCCAAAAACGAAAACCGCTATCATGATTAAGTTGTTTGTGGTTGGTGGATCGAGTAGTTAGTTTGTTTATTTAATGGCTGGTTTGTCCATCAATTAGGCATTCGAATCGGTGAGTAAATTGCTGTGGTGACCAATTTTGTCGGTTGATGGGTAAGTCCATCGATCAATAAGTCGGTTAATTGGTTGGTCAGTCGCTCAGCGAGTAAGTTGATCAGCCAGTTAGGCAGTCAGTCACTCACTGACTGCCTGACTGGCAGCCAGTTGTTCAATCAGCCGGTCAGCTGGTTAGTCAATCAGTTAATCTGTCAGTCGGTAAGTCAGTCATCAGTAACTCAGTCAAGTCAAGAGCCAGACACATCACAGCATACGAACATCGCTAATATTGTAGCTACACGTCGAGGCTGAGGCTACACCCGTGTGACACCACGTAAGCACTGCTTGGGATGGGGGGGTAGTGGGGGGGGTGGTGGTGGGTGGGTGGGCGGTGGTGGGTGGGGGGGTGGTGGGTAGTGGATGGTGGGGGGGGGGGGGGTGGGGGGTGGTGGGGTGGGGGGTGATGGGTGGTGGGGGGTAGTGGCTGATGGGGTGGGGGGTGGTGGGTGGTGGGGGGGGTGGGGGATGGTGGGGGGGGTGATGGGGGTGGTGGGGGGGGTGGTGGGGGGTGGTGGGTGGTGGGTGGTGGGGGGTAGTGGCTGGTGGGGTGGGGGGTGGTTGGGGGTGGTTGGTGGTGGGGTGTGCTGGATGTTTGTGCTGACGGTGACCACGCGGGATGGAGCGGTGGAACGGGGGGGGGGGGTGAGGTCCCGGTGCCGTGAACTGAGTCACCTGCGTTCGAGTCCTGACCGAGTTCTAAAACATCTTTGACGGCACGGCGACTCTCAAAGTCAATAACAGTAGAGAAAATAATAATAATGCTTAACAAGATAACAAAAATATATATTTATAAATTTGAACGCAATATATTTATTTCAAAATCGGTACGCGTGATAGACAAAAGTCAAACACATCGTCAGCCTCCTACACCACCGATACCGGAGATTGGAGAGTGGAACCCAGTGTCCCGGACTTCGATTCCCGACCACGGCTAGCGTCAGGAGCGAGTGACATCTGAACCGGTCCCCGTGGGGGTTAGCCCCCAAACCAGCTTGGCCGATCCGCACCGACCGGCGTAGCGAGGCATGGCCCCTAAACAACCCCCCACAAACGGGAGGCCTTCACCCGCCGGCTGATTCACAACGGCGAGGTCCAATTCAGTGACGAGCGAACGGCCGTGCACGCCTGCCCCTTACTCCGATTAGCACGGTTGTTTGTGGTTGGTGGATCGAGTAGTCAGTTTGTTTATTTGATGGCTGATTTGTCCATCAATTAGGCATTCGAATCGGCGAGTCAACTGCTGTGGTGACCAATTTTGTCGGTTGATGGGTAAAGTTCAACATACATAGTTTGTTGTCCTTCCCCCACATCTCAAATCATCACGCTTGGCTACGTACGGTGCGAAATAAGTACACGTATTCCTCCTGCCCCCTCTTCACTAACGCTCTCTCCATGGCTACGACTCGGCCCCTCCATCCACCAAATCCGTTGACTCCCCCGTCAAACGCCGCCTCCTCTCGTCTATTCTGCTCGGCCCCCCCCACCCCCCTCCCCCAATCTCCGCCGTCGAATTCATCCGCATCATTGTTCGCTCCCTGCCAAGGCGCCCGGGGGTCAAGGCTCCTCATATACATTTCGTTTCGATAACGTGAAAGATTTCTTCACGGCTAACACTGAACGATCGGATCCCCTCCACCCCTCCCCTCCCCTCCCCCCCCCCCCCCCCGGTTAGGGCCACCGTTCACGATACCCCCCCCCCCCCCCCAAAAAAAAATGAAAAGAAACGCCCGCGAATGATCATTTCACTTTCACTTCCACCGACGTCCCGATTCAGCGTTGCGACCCCCTCGCCCACTCAAGAATCGATTCCCCCGGTGGCTGTTTTTGTCTCATTTCACCGCCTCCTTTGTAGTGTTTCGTTTTTTCCTTCATTCCCATTTCGAGTGTGCACAGGACGGTTCTCTCCACGGCTGGACAGCGAGCACTATTGCGCATGTCATTTCCATAACCTTTGCATTTCCCGTAAACTGGGGGCGGAGCGCGGCAATGGTTAGCACGCTGCACCGTGAACCTGCCCAACCGAGATCAATTCTCGTTCATGCTTCGTACGCCAAGGACTTGAACTGTTACAACCTCGCATCACGATACACTACACTACTGTACACTACGCTATACACTACTATACACTACACTATACACGACTATACACTATACTACTATACACTACACTACTATACACTACACTATACACCACACTATACACTACTATACACTACACTACTATACACTACACTACTATACACTACGCTATACACTACGCTATACACTACGCTATACACTACACTACTATACACTACACTATACACCACACTAGGCTATACACGACGCTATACACTATACTACTATACACTACACTATACACCACACTAGGCTATACACTACGCTATACAGTATACACTATACACTACTATACACTACACTACTATACACTACACTATACACCACACTACACTATACACTACACTACACTACTATACACTACATTATACACTACTATACACTACACACTATACACTACACTATACACTACACACTACGCTATACACTACACTACTATACACTATACACTACACTACTATACACTACACTATACACTACACTATACAATACACAACACTAGACTACTATACATTAAACTACTATACACTACACTATATACTACACTACACTATACACTACACTACTATACATTACACACTATACACTACACTATACACTGCAATACACTACTATACACTATACACTACATTATACACTACTTTATACACTACACTACTATACACTATACTATTATACACTACACTATACACTACACTACTATACACTATATACTACACTATACACTACACTGTTACAGCCTCACGTGGTCTCTCTGCTCTCTCCAGCTCGGTGTGGAACTCTCTCTATCTCCCATTGCACATCCGCAACATGAAATGCACTCGCACTTTCAAAAACACATCCAAGGGCTTCTCTCTCTATCTGCCTGGGTCAGCAGCTTTCTGCTACAACTGGCGCGTTATGAATGTCATCATCATCATCATTATTGATCGGTCAGCCGGTAGGTCGGTCGATAGGTCGGTTGGTCGGTCAGTAAATCGGTCGGTCGGTAGGGTCAGACGAAGCTGGTGGTTGTGATTGCCGAGCGAAACGAGACACACACACAAAAAGGCCGCTCGAAAGAAATGAGATGTCCATCTCGACGACCGAAAGGTGCACGGCTCTCGCGGTGGGTTCTTAATTAACGATCGGAGTTCACCGATATCTGAACCAAGTCCTGGCACCTCCTCGTCAACTTCTCCAGCAAGCCCCCACTGACTAACGGGGTGAAGCATGGAGGAGAATCGCCACACACCGCGTGCGTTCCTTGTGCGCACACTTGCGCGCGGTGTCTGCGCGTGTGCGGTGTCTGCGCGTGTGCGTGTGCGGTGTCTGCGCGTGTGCGCGCGCGCGCGTGCAGGGAGCGGTGGCGCTGCGGTCAGGCGCACTGCGCCGTGAAGCCACCGTCCAACGCCCATCAAGAGCGGGGAATATTTTAACCGGGGCCTTCCCCAAAGTCGATCCGGCCTCAAACGAGTACGCGTGTAAAACATCGCCACTGGGGAGACAAAGGCGGCCGGGCGTGGTGCTGGCCGCCTGCCCCCTTCGTGCGCCGTGTCGGCCTTCAGAGGTGCTCGCTAGCAGCACTTGCCCCAATACTGTCATTGGCTATATGGGGGGGGGAGCTTTGGCTTTGTACCGCGTGTGTGTGTGCGCGTGCGTCTGTGTGTATGTTCGTGGGCGTGTGTGCGTGCGCGTGTGTGTGTGTATGTGCGTGCGTCTGTGTGGATGCTCGTTGGCGTGTGTGCGTGCGTCTGTGTGTGTGTTCGTGTGTGTGTGTGCGTGCGCGTGTGTACGTGCGTGCGTGTGCGTGTGTGCGTGCGCGTGTGTGCGTGCGTCTGTGTGTGTGTACGCGTGCGTACGTGCGTCCGTGTGTACGTTTGTCCGTGCGTGCGTTTCCGCAGCGAGGCGACCCTTGGGCCCGCACCTCGCCTGCCCAATGCCGAACTCGGCACGAAACGCATGTTTCACCCCGCCGCCCCCCACTTCGCATCGGGTCAACCGAGGTGAAAACACCTGAACCCACCCCTACCCCCACCCCTCCACACCGCCCGCTCACTCTGGGAGCCGCCACGCCACCCGTGGGGGACGAGCGACATGCAAAGCGCTGCTCCTCCTGCTCCTTCTTGACCGAGCGGAGGCTCCCGTGAACCATGTTTTTGGGACGTTTGGCCATACTTCACCGCGCCGGTCGCTGCTGGGCGGGTTGGGGGTGGGGGGGGATGCGGGCGAAGGTTGTCACGTCCGGGGTGTGACGAGGCGGGGAGGGATGCCGCAAGCTTCTCAAACCCCTCCATCGAGAGGGCGATGTTGACGCCGCCGCTGGTACCGGCAAGTCCATTCAGCTCCAAACCAAAGATAAAGATCCTTGCCCTAGCCCATAGACTGGTGGGCAAGTGCTGTTGGTGGGCAAAGTGCTATTGGTGGACAAAGTGCTGTTGGTGGGAAAGGGCTGTTGGTGGGCAAAGTGCTGCTGGTGGGCAAAGTGCTGTTGGTGGGCAAAGTGCTGTTGGTGGGCAAGGGCTGTTGGTGGGCAAGTGCTGTTGGTGGGCAAGTGCTGTTGGTGGGCAAGGGCTGTTGGTGGGCAAGGGCTGTTGGAGGACAAATTGCTGTTGGTGGGCAAAGTGCTGCTGGTGGGCAAGGGCTGTTGGTGGGCAAGGGCTGTTGGAGGACAAATTGCTGTTGGTGGGCAAGTGCTGTTGGTGGGCAAGTGCTGTTGGTGGGCAAAGTGCTGCTGGTGGGCAAAGTGCTGTTGGTGGGCAAGTGCTGTTGGTGGGCAAAGTGCTGCTGGTGGGCAAGTGCTGTTGGTGGGCGAGTGCTGTTGGTGGGAAAGTGCTGTTGGTGGGCAAGTGCTGTTGGTGGGCAAGTGCTGTTGGTGGGCAAAGTGCTGTTGGTGGGCAAAGTGCTGTTGGTGGGCAAGTGCTGTTGGTGGGCAAGGGCTGTTGGTGGGCAAGTGCTGTTGGTGGGAAAAGTGCTGCTGGTGGACAAGGGCTGTTGGTGGGCAAGTGCTGTTGGTGGGCAAAGTGCTGTTGGTGGGCAAGTGCTGTTGGTGGACAAAGTGCTGCTGGTGGACAAGGGCTGTTGGTGGGCAAGTGCTGTTGGTGGGCAAAGTGCTGTTGGTGGGCAAGTGCTGTTGGTGGACAAAGTGCTGTTGGTGGGCAAGGGCTGTTGGTGGGTAAGTGCTGTTGGTGGACAAAGTGCTGTTGGTGGGCAAGTGCTGTTGGCGGGCAAAGTGCTGTTGGTGGGCAAGGGCTGTTGGTGGACAAAGTGCTGTTGGTGAGCAAGGGCTGTTGGTGGGTAAGTGCTGTTGGTGGACAAAGTGCTGTTAGTGGGTAAGTGCTGTTGGTGGGCAAGGGCTGTTGGTGGGTAAGTGCCGTTGGTGGACAAAGTGCTGTTGGTGGGCAAGGGCTGTTGGTGGGCAAGGGCTGTTGGTGGGCAAAGTGCTGCTGGTGGGCAAAGTGCTGTTGGCGAGCAACGCCGATGAAGGCCGGCACTGCGACGACACGCGTGGGGGTGGGCGGCCAGCGCCACGCACGGCCGCCTTTCGTCTCCCTAGCGGCGACGTTGGCACACTTTGCACCGGGTGCTCGTTTGAGGCCGAGTCGACCTAGGGGATGCCCAGGCTCGGTTCAGATAATCGTCGACCGTGGTGTTCGTCGCGAGCGGGAAATCGAACTGGGGGACGCCGGGGCTGGCAGCGGCGCGACGCGCTGGCCGCTACGCCGCAAAAACGCGCGCGCACGTGCACGTGCACACACACGTGCACACGCGCACACACGCGCACACGCACACTCACGTTGTGCAGCTTGAAGTAGAGGCCGCAAGCGTTGCACACCGGCTCGCCGCTGCCGTTGCGCCTCCACAGCGTCGTGGTCGTGGTCTGGCAGTTGGCGCAGGTGGTGGACGGGCGGGAGCTGCTCGCCTGCGACGCGGCACAGGAAGAAAAATCAGGCGCACGCACGAGACGGGTTCCGCTTGCGGGGCTCTCTGAGGACACGCAACAACAAAACAACAACAACAACAAACAAACACGTGCACGCGTGACCCTCGCCATCGGTGGGCGTTTCACTGGCGGTGGGTAACGTGAGACCTTCACAGGCGGTGGGTGACGTGAGATCTTCACAGGCGGTGGGTAACGTGAGACCTTCACAGGCGGTGGGTGACGTGAGACCTTCACAGGCGGTGGGTAACGTGAGACCTTCACAGGCGGTGGGTAACGTGAGACCTTCACAGGCGGTGGGTGACGTGAGACCTTCACAGGCGGTGGGTAACGTGAGACCTTCACAGGCGGTGGGTAACGTGAGACCTTCACTGCTGGTGGGTAACGTGAGACCTTCACAGGCGGTGGGTAACGTGAGACCTTCACAGGCGGTGGGTAACGTGAGACCTTCACAGGCGGTGGGTAACGTGAGATCTTCACAGGCGGTGGGTAACGTGAGACCTTCACAGGCGGTGGGTAACGTGAGATCTTCACAGGCGGTGGGTAACGTGAGATCTTCACAGGCGGTGGGTAACGTGAGACCTTCACAGGCGGTGGGTAACGTGAGACCACAGGCAGTGGGTAACGTGAGACCTTCACTGCTGGTGGGTAACGTGAGACCGTCACAGGCGGTGGGTAACGTGAGACCTTCACAGGCGGTGGGTAACGTGAGATCTTCACAGGTGGTGGGTAACGTGAGACCTTCACTGCTGGTGGGTAACGTGAGACCTTCACAGGCGGTGGGTAACGTGAGACCTTCACAGGCGGTGGGTAACGTGAGACCTTCACAGGCGGTGGGTAACGTGAGACCTTCACAGGCGGTGGGTAACGTGAGACCTTCACAGGCGGTGGGTAACGTGAGACCTTCACAGGCGGTGGGTAACGTGAGACCTTCACAGGCGGTGGGTAACGTGAGACCTTCACAGGCGGTGGGTAACGTGAGACCTTCACAGGCGGTGGGTAACGTGAGACCTTCACAGGCGGTGGGTAACGTGAGATCTTCACAGGCGGTGGGTAACGTGAGACCTTCACAGGCGGTGGGTAACGTGAGATCTTCACAGGCGGTGGGTAACGTGAGATCTTCACAGGCGGTGGGTAACGTGAGACCTTCACAGGCGGTGGGTAACGTGAGACCACAGGCAGTGGGTAACGTGAGACCTTCACTGCTGGTGGGTAACGTGAGACCGTCACAGGCGGTGGGTAACGTGAGACCTTCACAGGCGGTGGGTAACGTGAGATCTTCACAGGTGGTGGGTAACGTGAGACCTTCACTGCTGGTGGGTAACGTGAGACCTTCACAGGCGGTGGGTAACGTGAGACCTTCACAGGCGGTGGGTAACGTGAGACCTTCACAGGCGGTGGGTAACGTGAGACCTTCACAGGCGGTGGGTAACGTGAGACCTTCACAGGCGGTGGGTAACGTGAGACCTTCACAGGCGGTGGGTAACGTGAGACCTTCACTGCTGGTGGGTAACGTGAGACCTTCACAGGCGGTGGGTAACGTGAGACCTTCACAGGCGGTGGGTAACGTGAGACCTTCACAGGCGGTGGGTAACGTGAGATCTTCACAGGCGGTGGGTAACGTGAGACCTTCACAGGCGGTGGGTAACGTGAGATCTTCACAGGCGGTGGGTAACGTGAGATCTTCACAGGCGGTGGGTAACGTGAGACCTTCACAGGCGGTGGGTAACGTGAGACCACAGGCAGTGGGTAACGTGAGACCTTCACTGCTGGTGGGTAACGTGAGACCGTCACAGGCGGTGGGTAACGTGAGACCTTCACAGGCGGTGGGTAACGTGAGATCTTCACAGGTGGTGGGTAACGTGAGACCTTCACTGCTGGTGGGTAACGTGAGACCTTCACAGGCGGTGGGTAACGTGAGACCTTCACAGGCGGTGGGTAACGTGAGACCTTCACAGGCGGTGGGTAACGTGAGACCTTCACAGGCGGTGGGTAACGTGAGACCTTCACAGGCGGTGGGTAACGTGAGACCTTCACTGCTGGTGGGTAACGTGAGACCTTCACAGGCGGTGGGTAACGTGAGACCTTCACAGGCGGTGGGTAACATGAGACCTTCACAGGCGGTGGGTAACGTGAGACCTTCACAGGCGGGGGGTAACGTGAGACCTTTACTGCTGGTGGGTAACGTTAGACCTTCACTCCCGTTAGATCTTCCGCCACGTGGAATCACGTCTTCGCCTCGTCAGAAAAGGCCATTTTATTGATATTTTATTAGCACTGGTTTGCGTCAGCAAACTTTGAGCGAAGCTTTGATCAATTTGCCCGCCGAGGTTTTCAATCGGGTTGAGTTGCCACCCGAATGCAGAACTTGGCACCCAAGTTTCGTTCTTATCGAGTCGTATTTCCTAGAATTCGTCGTTACGGACGTACGGACGGACAGGAGCCGACGCTTTAAAGCTTTCAATGTCCGTCATAAAGCACCTAGCGTAACGTCAGCCCTGTCAGCAACGCACTGGGGACACCTAAATACGTTGACAGATTTCAACGACAAGGCAGCGATGCCGATGACGCTGCTGAAGGCACAGGAGCCTCTAGGAACAGGCTGTAATCGTAGCAGAATGGTGGTGGCGACGATGCTGCTGCCTGTAGCTGCCTCTAGCTGCCTGTAGTAGGCCAGCACAGAGGAAGCAGTGAGGGTTTGGTGGATGGGAATAGGAATCAGTATTCACACGGCAGGAGGAATCCGATAAGCTATAAAGCTCTTGTTCACAGTGCAAAGCCACAATACAACAACGCAATAGGAGTGCAAAGTTCAAGAAGAGGTTAAAGAATCACCCAAACACAGGCAAATACAACAACTAAACCATGAGCTACCTATATTCTTGGTTCTTTCGGTAAAGTCACCACGTAGAAGGGAAATAATAAAATAATAAATATATAAAACAATACAATTCTCACGACGTTTCGACTGCAACACAAGCAATCATCATCGGGTGCGAAAACCACAGCAAGAAAATTTGAAAAAAAGTGGCGGTTATTTTTAACGTAAAAAAATAACCGCAACTTTTTTCAAATTTTGTCGCTTTATATTTTTATTTATTTTATTGTTTCCCTTCCACGTGACTTTACCGAAAAGAACCAAGAATATTAATCCCTGCGGTCACGAAAGCTTTAAATCATGAGCTACCTGGCCACAAAATAGCTCATCATTTGGACATTTATTTCAGCGAAAATAATCAACATTATTATAGCAGCGATGGGTCGGTGGATCACCGCGCAAAGGTAGCGAAGCTTACCCTTGCGGCCCTGTCCGTCAAGGAGGTGCCCTTGGCCGAGCTCGCCAGGAGAAGGCGGTACCCGCCGCAAGTGCGCACTAAACTCCATCCGCCCGATTTTGCACGTCGTGTGAGTTTTTCTCCGGGTGCTCCGGTTTTCCGGCCGCACCCGTGAAAACAACTCATTGATTGGCCGATTGACATCTTCATCTTACGAGCCTCCAAGTGCTGTGGGAGATGCTGTTGCGCAACTGCCGCTATATTAAAACCAACGGCCAAATCATCACACGAATAATGAGCAAATGTGAGCGTCGATCGAACAAAAATGTTACGCAACAACAAAAATAAGTCTCAGTCCGCCGATATAATCAGCCAGGGTCAATCCACTGTTGGATGAAGGCCTCCCCCGGGCAAGCCGCCGCTGCCACCGATTGGCACGAGCCCTAAGCCGTAACAATCCACCCGGCGCGCCGGCTGAACGCGCCAAGGCCCGGTTGCTCCATCCTCAAACCAAACAATAAACACACAAAACAGTGAATATTGTCCCCTTGCTCCGTGTACACGGTCTGTACGCGTGTATGTCTGTCTGCATGCTGAACTTCTTTTGCACCGTACGTAGCCAACCGTGCCCATCAGAGGTGTGGGGGAAGGACAACAAACTAAACACAAAAAGAAGTTCTCAAGAAATTACTTTGTCAATCTGGATGATTTATAAGTGCCATGGCTCCCAACGGCTTCCTGATGTCTGAAAGCGCCGCGATGCGGTGACAGCCCTCTTTGTTCGATGGCTACGCCAAAAGCCGCCGCCGCCGCTGCCGCTGCTGCTGCTGCTGCGCGGATGACGGAGTTGGCGTGGTGGCGGTTCGTGCTCCTTGACGAGACCGACGAGGTATCGCTCACCCCCTCGGCCTTTCCAAAAACTGTCCCTGACCGACGGAAAATTGGGACTCGTCAACTCGGCGATTACGAACGTGGCCCGCCCTTCGCCAATAATCCTGCTGCGCCGGCTAAAATGACCGACGTGGAAATTAACTCGTGTGCCTATATATATATTGACTCGCACTGCGTTTATTGTGCATTGTTCAGCGCGGGGTCCTTGTGTAATTTGCAGCCGATTGTTGTTCTGCACGGCGGTCATTGTTTTTTTGCGACCGCGTTTGGGAGCAGGCCCGCGACGCCGGTTTGCGTCTTGTGCTTACGAGTGACCAATGCCCCCCCCCCCCTAAATATCGGATTGATTGCACAGAGACTCTTAGACTTATGGGAGCGCCAAAAGCCACGACATAGAGACCGGCAGAGTCTTTGTACAGGGTGTAATTTCAGCCAGGCCTATCGCGACGGGTGAAGTCATCGCGATACGCCTGGCTGTTGTCATCACATGTATCCGCTGGATTTAAGGAACGAAACAGGAGGATTTCATCACAAATCTGGCTGTCGCCTGATGAAGCCGGTTGTAATTCCTGGCGAAACGTCGTACCCAGATTGTAAATGTTGTGGCTTTGCTCTCCAACACACAACGGGTGTGCTGCACTAGTGGCGAATTGGCCGCGTTCTGTTTACGTGACAAACCTCACCCGTTGGCTGTGGCGGGTTTAACGACACATTTATATATCTGCGCGATCCAACCCCAAAACAATCCTATACTGCGGGCGATATCGGTCGCCAAATCCTACTACTACGTGTTAAATAAACCGCAGTGTCTGCATC